TTCTCATGTGAGTGCTGGTCATCATGGTTGCAGCACCCAGGCTGTTCTTTGGTCTATAGGTCACTTAGAAGAGTAGAGGGGAGAAGAAAGGTGTAGTGTAGAGTGATGCCATTTACAGTTACAGTAAAACACTCTTAGAGGTAAGCTATAGACCAATATCACCTTAAAAGACTGAAACTAAACAGGAAAGAACAAATCACAGCAACATAGGCTTTCTGTGTATCCATGATGGATTACCTTGTGGCTGTTCTTAAAGGGACATTGTGTAGTGTTTTAAGTATTTTATTAACTAAAATCAATGTCTGCATTCATAAATGTGTCCTCATTGGTGTAAAATGACCTCTGCCAATGATCTGACTTATCCTCGTAAGCGAAGAATTTCTTATCTGTATATACATTGGACGGGCAAGTCCATGGAGGCTTCCATGTCGTTCTGCCATTTTGAAAAACTATAATCGCTGAGAGGGACATAAAGCACTAGCCTACCTGTCTAGCTAATCCACAACGCGTTTTGCTTCAGAGCCAGCGTCAAGTGACTGAAACCAGCTATAACGAAGAAGGAGATCAGTGTGAGGCGCTTGTCACTGCCCCGGCACATTTGAAAGTCTGCATTGCACTTCAGTTAATAATGGAGGATCATACTTATGCTGAGCCACAGGAGAAGGAATCCTCGTCGCCAAAAAGCGAAAAAGGGAATTAAAAAGGCAACGTGACCCAGGGAATTCAAAAAACGAGGGTAAACATCGGGGTAGCTTTTCCCAGGTGGAAAGAGCTAATGAAGGAGAAAGACTTTCAAAGGGACGCTGAAGTTGCCTGCTTTCTCCTCGACAGGTAGGCTTCTTGGTACATAATGGCTACCATAGTTGCAATACGTATTTGAAAACGCGAGGCACTAGAGAGCACAATTGTTGAATGCAAAATACAATTTCACCGCTAGATGGGAGAAATTCCTACACAATGTCCCTTTAATTTATTCCAGAAGAAAAGCCTGGTGTACAGTTGTACAGGAAGTCATTAAATCTCCCTAAAATGTAAAATGTACGATTAACTTTTTTGTATTACAGTCTTAACAAAGAAGACATTTCTGTTACAGCCTCATGCCACTCGCTTTAGAGGGCAGATTATGTAGAGATACATTTGACCATGCTGTGAAAACAGAGGCTATATTGGAACTATGTTGCCACTACAGCGAGCTGTGTGCAGGGAGTGCGAAAAGCTGATGGAAAAAGATGTGTTACAGGATGTTTCAGACCGCAAACTGCTCAACAGTGAAACCTGCTGAGTGATTCTATTAAACAAACAGTAAACACATTGCAATGCAAACAAGATAAGCTGCAAATGTAAACTGCTCAAATACAAGGTTAGACACTGCTCTTATCTAAGCCAAAATGTTTGTGGGAGATTGTACATGTGAGTGAAAAGTGTGTGTACACAGAAATGCAGGTTTTAAGTACAGTGTAACAGGTAGCAGGTGGTTATAATGGTGTGGTGTTGCCCTGGTTTTTGGGAAGCAGACGCTCTGCTAATTGGGGCTTATCAGGTGCTTCTGTGAAAAACACCTGAGGCTTTTGTGGAGCCGTCAGTCCCATGATGGAGAGGGGAACTCTGTCTCTTGTTAGGATTAGGAGAAAACAAGAGTCAGCTTTCAGCAGCAACCATCGCTCCTGTTTGAATCATCTTTGGATGTTAAAATCTAGGCTGTGTATGCACCAATTTGCAACTGTGGTTCCATGGTTTTAATGTTGTATGTGTGGTTGTGAGAAGTAGGCATGGCTGTGAAAATTCAAAATAAACTTTGGTAGCGTGTGCTATTTGACAAGACCACAAGAGCATCTCTGCATCACTCCTCAAATCATGAGAAACAGGTAGTTTTGGTGATGCTTACAGAAGCTTTCTGATAGGATATCCTGTCTCATTTCATAGGTGTCTGTCTCTTTGACTTCCTTTGTCTCTTTGACACTCATTTATACCCTGCTACCTGTATCTGATTATTTCTAGACAGGATAGTATGCTATTTGTCCTTCTGTAATCTCTTTAATCCATCGCCTAATACTCCTATATATATATATATATATATATATATATAATGATGTGTCGCAATGGTGTTGACATTTATTTATGAAACTAAGGAAACTCAAAATGTTCCATCTTCTCTGTCCTTGTAAAATCCCCAATTAAGAAGTACTTTGAATACATGTATTTCCAACATCTACATACTTATGAATATGCATCACTTTGGAACAAATTAATACAACTTCAGAGTATATACCTAATGTTTAAATTTTGAATTATTTCAACTTAAAGGCCAAGTGTGTAAGATTTAGGACAGGATGTATTGGCAAACACGGAATATAGTATTCAAAGGCAGGTTTTTTTTATCGGTGTATAATCACCTGAAAATTGTTACCTTAGAGACGTTTCTATCTACAGAGGGACTGGGTCCTCTTCTATGGAGTCCGTAGAATGTGCATTCATTGCAAAGGTGAATACCGTTGAATAGATTGGACGTTTTCTACTGGAAATACTACACTACATCAGATGCACAATAAATATATTTAAATATACTTTTGAGGAGTGGTGTAATGGAATTTCCCTGCCACTTAAACTGTTCAGTAAATATACTGAAGTATAGTTTTTTGGGGTTTATGCTGCTGTTGTTATCCCATTGTGTTAGATAGGAAAGGAGTCATTGGTCAACATGGTGGAACAACATTTTTGACAATGTGTTATGTCTATTGTGAAACTGAGACAGTGATGTCTGGGTCGAACACAGGTCACAACTTTGACGATGGCTCGGCTGGGAGCGGTTACATCACCAATCACAGTCAAAGCGTCTGAATGGCACCCGGCAGGTAGAGGGGCAGGTAGAGGGGCAGGGCAGGGCTGCGACGAGACAGTGCTGCAGGGAAACCAGCCTGTCAGGTTTCCCACACACAGTGAAATCCCTTGATGACAGAGGCCAAGGACTGCAGGTGACAGGAGGACCTTGAGCTGTCTACACAATACATGACAGAACTGTCCAGGGAAAACCTGGCAGAGCTGAGACAAAAGATAGAGCAAAGCATAACCAGCGTGTTTTTTTTCTCTTAGCAGACTGGAGACTGTGGACAAACAGAACTAGTCTATGTCGGCTGACTTTTCCAGTAATAAAGTCATTATAGGCTGAAATAATGTAACCTAATGTAATTACGCTGGTGCAGCTGGCACATGTGCTCAGCCTCAAGCCTCCTATTTGTGTCTATTAATGGAGCAAAAAAGGATGGCGGGGAGACAAGCTGTCCTGATACAGCGGTTCTGATCGGAGAGTGCTCAACTTTAAATACATTTCTGCGATGATACAGTTGCAGCAGCCAAATGGAAGTGCGCTGTCCCATTATTAAGGCAGAAGGGCAAGGCTCTCCACACTGAAGGAGACTATTGTTCTTTGTTCCTGCTTGAGGAAGCAGTGTGCTGGTTATTACTGGCAACCAATAGCAGCTGTGCGTCGAAGCTGCATACATGCAGGGGAATTCTATACAATTCTATGTCTGTCACAATTAGCTGTGTGTGTGAAGATCGTGCAGAGTGAAGTTCAGTGCAGTGCAACGCGTCATATGGATCAATTTGTGTGTGTGGACGTCACAGTGATGTCTCAGATTCCTGGCTTTGTGTCCAGATGCCGTTCCACATGCATGCTCTCTGTCTGGCTTTGTCTCGCTCCCTCTCAATCTTTCAGTCTCTCGGGTTTTGAGTCAAAGTGCACCAGAACAGAGAAGAGGTACGGTCCCAGTTTCCACTAAAGGTTTCCAGTTAAGAGCTGCTGCAGCCATTCAGGCTAGTTGCATCAGTGTTCAATTACCTCTGGAGCTGGGCTGCAGAGGGATCCTGTTACTTTTGACAGGTTTAAGACACCAGCTCCACCTCTAATTAGATTTCCAGAGCCTCCAACTTTCCTTTGTTTTCAGGCCCGTAGCTACAGTCCATTTTGTTTTGTTTATAGGTTTCTTCTAGAAAAAAGTTCTAACAAAATGCTCATAAAGCACCTTACGACATAATGTCATTATGTATGGAAAGTAATTATTCTGACATGGCCTGCACACAAAGGGGAAAATCTTTGCTGTACTGAACACTTTGAACACAAAATTAAAATGTCATATGCAAATGTCAAGTCTTACAAAGCTGTTTTTCACACACTCAGGGAAGCTCCCATCCTTTCCTTCTCGAGTATCTATTTGATTTGCTGTTGACATTTGTGAACTGGTTGGAGGGGGCAGGTTAGGATGAAGAAGTCTGGCTGATCCACAAGCTAATCTGAAGTTTCAAGAGGTAGCTCACTGGAATGGAATGGTTTGCTCCCCACAACAATGCCGTGTGTTGACAGCCGAGTGCTCGGACGGGGTTAGTGGAATGTCCCCTTCAGACTGTGAGCGCGGCCCTTTGTCTGAGCACCAGCACTCTGCCTCATAGACTATTTATCCTTCTACCTGGAGATGATCTGTCTGCACAGGTTCACCATAAAAAACAAAGATCTTTTATAATGATGTACTCCCTTGCAAGCAACTGAATTATTTATTTCCATTCCTTTTGTACTGCGAAAATGCTGCAACCTGTCTGCGTGGGTGTTCAGTTTGCGATGTAACAAATGGACACAGTGAATGCGGTGCGTTCACTCTGTGGCCATTCATTTATGCGATTTGTTGGCCTTAAAATGTCAACTCTTGAATCTGTTATCTGCAAGAGCACCTCAAGGACATGGATAATAAGGGGTGTTGAAACTCTGATCTACTGCTGTTCCTCCACTCTTTGACTTTGGGTCATTGTAAGGACTTCTTCAAGTCAATTTAAACACATTAAAACATGTTTCCACTGCACAGACTGAGAAATAGGTTGTTGCCTGGTTAATTTGTTTTGAGTTTGGCCAGTGCATTGTGTCATCTTTGCTAAAAATGTGTTTTCTTCTATCACAGTTTATTTCATTACAATAAGTAACCCAGGCCTTCTCTTCCTTTCTGTGTCTGCAGGTGACCCACATAGAACTCCTCAGATGTGACTGTGGGACAGGCAGTCTCCCTCCCATCCTGGGCCCTCTTCCTGTCCTTAAAGGCAACGATTATTTGCTTAGACACTCCAACTCCACTGTGTGAATGAATCTTTGCCGTAAAGCCGCTGTGCTCTGCCACCCTGTCACCATGAAGAGCAAGTATTCCCAGTACTACAATAAGAGTCTGATCCACTCCTATTATGCCTTTGCTAAGAACATGAGCACTCAGGAGGTGGACAAACGTATTGAGAATAAAAAACAGCTCACCACCCTCAACATTGTCATCGTGGTCCTCTGCACCATCATCATCCTGGAGAATCTGCTGGTCCTAATTGCTGTCTTTCGCAACAAGAAGTTCCACTCTGCGATGTTTTTCTTCATCGGCAACTTGGCATTCTCTGACCTGCTGGCAGGCTCGGCCTACATAGCCAACATTTTTCTATCAGGGTCAAGGACCTTTGAGCTGATGCCTGTGCAGTGGTTCATCCGGGAGGGTACAGCGTTTATTGCTCTGGCAGCTTCAGTCTTCAGCTTGCTGGCGATAGCTATAGAACGCTATATTGCTATCACCAAAGTCAAGGTGTATGGCTCCACCAAAACATGCCGGATGTTTCTTTTGATTGGAGCTTGTTGGGTCACCTCCATCCTGCTCGGAGGACTTCCCATTATCGGCTGGAACTGCATCAACAACCTCCCTGAATGCTCAGCAGTTCTGCCACTCTACTCAAAGAAATACATCCTCTTTGTTGTCACCATTTTCAGCCTCATACTACTCTCTATTGGCATCCTCTATGTGAAGATCTATTTGATTGTACGCTCCAGCCACCAGGAAGCGACCAACTCGCCGGCCTATGCCCTTTTGAAAACTGTGACTATAGTGCTGGGTGTCTTCATCATGTGCTGGCTGCCCGCTTTTACCATCCTCCTTCTAGATTCATCTTGCAGGATACAATTCTGCCCTATCCTCTCCAAAGCAGACATATTTTTTGGCTTTGCCACTCTGAACTCAGCGCTTAACCCAGTGATCTACACGCTGCGCAGCAAAGACATGAGAAAAGAGTTTCTGCGTGTGTTGTGCTGCTGGGGGGTGCTGCAAAGTGGGCGGCCGTCTGACCGTTGTCTGGTCCCTCTAAAGAGCTCCAGCTCTCTGGAACACTGCACCAACAAACATGAACACCAGACCACACCAATCATGCAAGATTGTACCACATGTGTCTGATATGTTGCACACACATCACAGTGATTGTCTGTGTGTGTGTGTGTGTGTGTGTGTGTGTGAGTGTGAGTGTGAGTGAGTGAGTGAGCGAAAGAAAGCATGTGTGTAAATCAGATCATGTAAAGAGGCTGTGATAAGATGGAAAGAAGAAACGAGCACACCCTGGACTGACATGCCTGGCAAGACTGCGACACAGCTATCTATAATGCAAACTTTTTTTTTATTACAATCAAAATTGTGTGAATTCACAATCAGCATTCAATCGATTCACCCATGCAGCAAGGTGTAAAAACATTTCAAGATTGAACCAATTGCGTAGGTGAGAACTTTGAGAAATGTGAAAAGAGCTTTTTCGTGGGTACTCTAAATATTTAATATGGAGTTGCAAACAATTTTCATGTATATGCCTGTCATCTTGTTTTTCTCAACATGTAAACCCCTTTTAAAAACCAAAAAAAGAAACATAACATGCATAATATCATAGTTATGGTGAGTTGTTTTGGGCCTTTAAAGAACTGCATCAATGCAAAGCTTGCAATGCTGCACTTTGTAGATTACTTCAGAGATTGTTGTCCTTTGTGAGGTTTATCTACATTACTCTCCTTTACTGATATATGTATACATTAGGCCTACATATTCATCCACTCATTCTTTACAGAGCTGGAGGCAGTGACTCCACAGACGCCAAATTATCACGAGTGCTCCCTTAACAAAACCAGGGCTATATATTCCCTATATAACCTTGCTTAAACCATTTGATTAACTACAACAAACTTACATAATCTGCATACATTTAATGCATGAACTTCTAACTTATTTGTAAGCGCTGATGTGTATAATATATTCCAGCTCCAGCTTCCATCACTAACACCCCTTCCCCCATTTGTCCTCATAATCTGTCCCTCTTGCTTTTACTGTTGTCTTTTGTATCTTAACAGTTTCCGTTGAGGAAGGCCTAATCAGAAAGCACATTTCCTGAAGTGAGTTGGCACTGATGAATCTTACTCAATGACAGCTGTCTAGCAACTTTTACTAATGGAACAGAGGTCTTGACAGTGTTGTAGCAACGTAGCAGCAATGTGCGGTCTCTGTTTTTACCTTCCTCTTAGGGAATTTGGCTGAATGTATGTATGAAGTGTTTGGGGCAGGCGCTCCACTATTGACAGTATTATTGATCATTTTGAATTACCAAGTCATTGACGAGCAGAGAGTGGGATGAACATTTCAGATCACTCTCACTGTGAAGTCTTAAATAGCACCATGAACAAGAATTTGTTGTGAACATCCTGGTTTAATTTGCTAGCCATATGCCTTGTGCAACTAAAGATGTAAGCACGTCTCATCTTTCCAAAGACCCCTCACCTCCCCTACAAAATAGGAGAAGATCCGGTTTCAAACGCACAGGGGGGATCTGCCCTCCTGGGAGGTCAGCTTCATCCTTATTCTCTGACATCCTACAACATGCAACTTCCTTCAGCCATAGGAAGTCCTGTTTTTCATTGTCCGGTTCCTGTTGTTCAGGGTTAGACTAACCTTCTTCCTGTAGACACATATTTAAAACTCTTCTCTCCCTCCGTGTATTTTATATTGACTTTTACATTTAGACGGCCAAGTACAAATGGTGAAAAGCACTTTGGCAGCTTCAGTGATGTTTGCTTTACCCCAGGTTTTTTCAGATGGAGAGGTGTTTTAATCTGTCTACCTAACACTTCGTTGTGTTGCCTGACTGTATGATTTAAGAAAAATGATAAATACATGAATACATATGTGTGTTTGTAAGTATGTATGTATGTATCTTTGTACAGTATGTATGATTTGTGTTGTATGAAATGTCTCGTGTGCAATAGCCTTGTGTGTCCAGTAGCACGCTGCCTGTGTTAAATCGGTACAATCTGAAACACTAATGTAGGTACATAAACTTTTTGTTAATTGCATTCCTTTTTTTATAAAATAAATGAAATACTGAAAGAATCCATTTTGCATGTTCGAGTGTTATTCTCAGCTGAAAAGTAATGGCAGCAGTAGCTTTTCTGCAGGTCCTGAGATGCCTTCCTATTGTGCTTACATCTATTCAAAATGCAGCATTTAATCCAAACATGCTCTGACATGGTAAGAAAAACACTAGCTTCAACATGAAAGCCTGAAATTGTATATGCAAATACTGTTTACTAGCCATTTATCATGGCTCTCTTACCTAATAAAATTGTTCAGTTGATTGAAGACTAAAGCAAGACAGGGCTATGATGGGAAGCTGGGTAGAGGGCAGGCAGGGTGAAAATGGGGTGTGGTAAGGAAGAATGTCTATTTGTAAGATGGTTTTTCTAAGACAAGCATAAAGAAAGGTCCCGGGAGAGGTTTTCGAGTAAGGGGGAGACTTGGGGTGAGGGGAGAAGCTGACTTATAGCGGCCTTGGGAGAGTTGGGCCTGTTTCCTGTCAGACGTCCAGGATTCCTGGGTGGGAACACTGGCTGAATCAGCCCCAGGAGGCTGCGCTGCTGGGAAGACTGCCAAGTCTTTCCAGTGCCCTGCAGGATATGACATCAGACTCAGAAACCTGTAGGTGAAGTTGTACACACAAACATATAAGTCAGCACACAAGACCAAAGTGAGTTTTTCCCTGCAAGAAAGAATCATTAGGAATACTTTATACTAGAAAACATAGAAACGCCAACACACTTGATCGTGAATCCTCTCCATTAGATTATGTAAATATAGTATGCACACAAATACACAATGGCCGAAACTGCCTCACATGGAAAACTGATAAATGCTCAACAAATATAAATCTACAGACTGAACTTAAATGAGGTAACTTTTGGTTGATGTGGCCAGGTTGGATTTGCATGTAGCCACAAGCAAGAAGAGGACAAAGACTCCTACTTTCTAACTATCAATCAATCACATAGTGCCACCTTGTGGTAAAATTAGCACATAGCAAGCCATACTTGAAGCATGTTCCATATTCTTTTAAACGAAAAGTCTGCAAAATAAAATCACAGAAGTCGTTAAAATGTTTATTTATATTTACATATAAAAGAGAGAGACAAAGAGAGCATCATCCAGAACTGAAATCATGAACATACAATATAGTAACACAGGAAAGTTAGTCATCTACTGTTACCCTGCACTAACACAACTACTCTATTATTCACTACAAGCTCAGTGTCATCTATTGAATGGGTCCAATAAAAGTACAGATACATACCATATCTAATGGGGAAAGACATTTATTGCTAGTATTACTCATTAGTAAACAACGCTCAGATTGCTTCCGCTTGGTCAGTCGTCTACAACATCTGGAAAACAGCAAGGGTGGGTCGAGTTTGTTGTCTATTTAAATAAAATCATGTTTTTAAAAAAACACAACCACGTGGCAATCACAGGTGAGTTATAAAGACGATATGCTATGCGAAAAAAACGTTTCGTATTCAAACGATGCATTCAGAAGAGAAATATTACGTCCCACGGTGATACTGATTCACCCTTAGATCGCCGTAATGGTACAGTCCACAACACCCGGGTTTCCGCGCGAAAAGACGGCCCGCGCGCCCGAATTGCTTATAGCATCCATTGCAAGAAACATCACGCGACCAGCAGTCACCGTGGAGCCGCGCTGCAGTTGCCAACGGCGGTTTTAACCATTGTTTTAACAGATTTTAAAGCGATTTTAAATCTCTTTTTTGTCTTACACGTTTAGCTAGCTGTTCACAATGCCATCCAGGACTTCCCTGTCTCTGCCAGAGGATGTCAGGAAAAGGTACGGTAACGTTAGTAACGGGAATGCTAATGATGTCTTGATGCTGTAGCCTTCGCGCAGCTTGTTGTCTTAGTTCAGAAGCCACGACAACAACAGCGAAACCTGTTTAACTCGCCGCTTCGGACTTGCTCCCGTTGTCGTGACCGGAGCTACTACTTTACATTTTGCTTGTACTAGCAGCTTGCAGCTAGCGTTAGCTTGTTGCCACTTGACAGTCAGGTCTGATGCCGCATACAGAGTTAACGTTAGCTCCCTGTTAACGTTAGCCACTTAGCATCTTAGCCTGTCAATGGATGGAGCAGCGTGTGGGATTTGGCGCCACTCAGGAAGTTTTGCTACCTATGTTTCTGCTAGCTCGCCGTCACTCACGCCGGTTTTATTGCTACAACCTCAGTAAATGTCATTGTAGATGATTTGCGCTCTGTCGCACATTGGTTTAACTCACCGTAACGTTGTTTTGACATGTTCGTTGTTCACAGGCTGCAGGTGCTGGATGAGGATGGAGTTTCAGACGAGGTGGGTTCAGTGTCCATAACGTGAAGTGTTAACAATTAGTGAGCAGCTGGAGTAACGTTGTTCCTAATGCTCAGTTGTGGGGGTCAAAAGACCATTGAACACGATCGTAGGGTCACAATATGCCGTCAGATTGAAGAGACGCTCCACCTTCAATTGGATTTCACGAAGCAATCTAAAATCTGCAATCTTGTCTGGTTCAATTAATGTGAATGAGTTTGAATGAGTCTCACCATATCCTTAAAAGTAAAGCGATGAACAGATGCAGATATTGCCATCTAAAAACATGCAGGTTAAAATTTAATTGGATTCAGTATCTCAAACACTATCACTCCCCAAAGTGTCATGACTTGATTTTTTCATTCAAGTCTTGATGCTGTCATCTTCAAGTTAAAGCATGTGTTAACATGTCAATAAAGCTGCAGCTTGAGATAGTAATCTCTGATTTCAAACTTTATCAGAAAAGTACATTAAAATATGTATTGTCAAGGATTTAGTAGGTGACCTATTATCATGTGGCCTCTTTAACAGTGTTTATGCTGCAAGAGGTTCTCTGATTCTGGTATGCAATATACCAGAAACAGTTGGTTTTGTCTGTTTTTGATTCTCAACTGAAGTTAAACTTCCCTTTTCTGATGAAATAATTCTTCTAAAACGCCTTTCCAGAATAATGTGAAGGAGAAGCTCAAGTTGGTGCAGGATTTCCTGCATGTCGACGCTCAGGATCAGCTGTCCAGCCTGGAGGAAAAGATGAAAAGTTCAGAGATCTCAATGGTAGTGACTCTTGAAGATATTACCGATCCTGAAATTTTACTGCTCATTATTTCTCCTGTGACCTGTCGCATATGTCATGTTCTTTCTGCAGGAGGTCTACATCTCTAAAGTAAAGGCGTTGCTGGGAAAAGAGTTTCATCTTGAAAATGGCTCACATGTTGATGGCGTGGAGCAGAATGGAAAGACGAATGGCTTCACAAATGGCTCTCACAAAGATGAGGACAGTGAAGAAGTGACCATGGACGTACAGGAGGAAGAGGAGGCTGTCAAGTCACCAACTGCTGCCAAAGGGAAGGGTGGACGCAGGAGTAAGGCAAATTCTGACCCCAAAAGTAAGTTTAAGACTTTATTAATCTTTATCATGTAACGGCACAAATTAAATGGATTTAAAACAATGGTTTAAACAAAAAAAACCAACTTGTTTGTTCTCTTTTTTTCTTTTTCATTCCAGAGTCTCCAGCGAGTACCAGGGTAACAAGAAACAGTGGGAAACAGCCATCCATTTTGTCAATGTTCTCTAAAGTGTGCGTATAAGTTTTATCTTGGTCCTAAGACTTTGTTTTTCACTTGGATTTTTACTTCACATTTATTTTCAGCCAATAAAAAAAATCTGTTTTTAAAACTAAGTTGGTCTTACAGTCAAAAGCGCAAGTCTGAGGACTTGAATGGAGAATCTACTAATGGACAAAATGAACCGAAGAAAGAGGAAGATAATGTTGAAGAGGTGAAGCATTTTTATGTACCAGTGATTTTTAAACATCAGGAGTTGGTGCAAGTCTCAGTTTGGTATATAACACTGTCTATACTTTCAAATGTGTTGTAGTCTCGGGAGGAGAAGCGTCTCAAAGTAGAGTCGGAGGAAAAGTAAGTCTCTTTCCCTCAACATTATGAACATTAATTATGGTGATGAAGCTCGCACACAAGTAAACACACTTTTCTTTTATGCAGAGCTGCTCCAGAAGAATCGAAGACCGAGGTTATTAAGACTGTTTCTGCTGCAAAGGTAATGAATTGGATCATTCATCTCAGTGTCCTCGCTAGAAACCTTTTTGTGAGAATTAATGCTTTGTACTGAAATTACCTGTATACTCAATTTGCCTTTTTTTTTTTTTTTTTTTAAAAGCCACCACCCCCCAAATGCCCAGACTGCAGACAATACTTGGATGATTCAGATCTCAAGTTCTTTCAAGGAGATCCTGATAATGCAGTGAGTTTGTTGTCCTTGAAGTGGATTTTCGAATGGCACGTTTTCACCTTTTTAATAAAGTACAGTTTGACACATGCAGCCCTTTTATTAATTGTGTTTAGTATGGTATATTGTAATATGTTTTTAATATTATTTTTTAAATATTGACTAGAATGTGAAACCTGGAACAATTCTGCTCTTTTCTTCCTCAGCTGGATGAACCAGAAATGTTAACAGATGAGCGCCTCTCCCTGTTTGACTCAAACGAGGATGGATTTGAGAGCTATGAGGATCTGCCACAACACAAGATCACAAACTTCAGGTAAGTGATTCTGCATCTGTCTTTAGTGTTTTAGGTAGTGACACTTGACTGCTAGAACAATTGTGTCCTTCATTTTATTGTAGTGTTGTTGTTGTTTTTTTTTTGTATTGCAACACCTGAGGATTTGTCAGTGATGGTGCTAACCCTTTTTGTCTTTCAGTGTATATGACAAGCGTGGTCACCTTTGTCCATTTGACTCTGGCCTGATTGAGAAGAATGTGGAGCTCTACTTCAGCTGTGTTGTCAAACCCATTTATGATGACAACCCTTGCTTGGATGGTATGAAAACCCACATTTTAAATAATGGGAACTTAATTTTGCTTGTTTTCCTCTTAACTACAACCAAGCAGATGTGTTTGAGTGTGGTATTACATTTTTGTTTGTTTCAGGTGGTGTTCCTGCCAAGAAGCTTGGACCCATCAATGCCTGGTGGATCACTGGTTTTGATGGTGGAGAAAAGGCTTTAATTGGTTTCACTACAGGTAGCAGATTTTTCTTTTTGGTTTTCTGCTCCAAATTTGTATTTGTTTTCTTTACCCTGTATTGACCTAATAATGGTTAATCTCGATCTTTATTGTGTAGCTTTTGCTGATTACATCTTGATGCAGTCGAGTGAGGAGTACGCACCCATCTTTGCACTGATGCAGGAGAAGATCTATATGAGCAAGATTGTGGTGGAATTCCTCCAGAAGAACCGTGACGCTACTTATGAGGACCTTCTCAACAAGATTGAGGTGAGAACATGTATGAATGGAACAAGCTTATGTCTTTTCTCTTGACATATTCAACATGGTTCCATTTTTCTAGGGGCCATCAGTGATTACATGGCAATGGCATATCTCAAAAAATGATCAACTCTATGTACACAGAAACCCGCTAAGTTATTTTATAGAGAAGTCTGTCAACAAGTTGTCGTGTTTGTCAGGTAGCACTGAATAGACTGGTCAGTAAATCAATTGGTTATCAACAGAAATCCTACCACTTAACTAATTAACATATTTGAAATATTAAACATTTGCTGGTTGGTGTCTCTGGCATTAGTGTTGACTAGGTTGACAATATTTGCAATTAGCTGTCATGTGATAAATTATCTTTGGCACTCTACAGACTAGGTGAGTAATTCATATATTTTTGCCTTATCATGGCACTATGAATCTGCATGAACTATGAAGAATGCAGAAATTGTAGAACTAAGAACTGGCATTTCGTGAGTTTAAAAAAAACAAAAAACATGATCCTGACCAACTTGTTTCTCCTTCCCCATTAGACAACCGTGCCTCCTGCAGGACTCAACTTCAACTGCTTCACTGAAGACACACTGCTGCGCCATGCCCAGTTTGTGGTGGAGCAGGTGGAGAGCTACGATGAGGCCGGCGACTCAGATGAGCAGCCCATCATTGTAACTCCCTGCATGCGAGACCTGATCAAGCTTGCAGGTGTCACTTTAGGGAAAAGGTATGGCTGAAAGATTTGGCTCCCTCTTACCGTGACGGGATGTCAGCTGGAAGTAGTCAAAGATCCTTTAAAGCACTGGCTTTGATTCCTGAACCTTTAAGGGAATAGTATGCAGGTCTACACTAAATTATAAAAGTCACTAACCCATCGGCCTGATGCAATCTGGGAATTTTTCTCTACTTGAAATTATCAATTTATTCTAATATTCAAACAAGTAAGCTTTCATAGACACTGTAGGAGCATGAGTGCATATGCTACATATTTACCTTAAATGAAGATTCCCCATTCTCAGCTTCAGTTATTCTAGCTGCAGCTCTTCTGCAACACAAATGCTTCAGGATTTTAAAGTTATTTTTCATTTTATTTTCTTTGCTTCTATTCCTGTATTTCTGCTCCTCGCTCCTTGTTCTCCCTAATGTCTAACATTCCT